GTTACTCACATTGGTAGTCTTTGCTTGTTGGAACAGTCCCATTGAAATGCATTGATTTGTTAAATGAAAGACATTCAAGCATTATATGTAAAAAAATTATTAGCTCTTTGTCTTTTATATTACATTATAAAGATCATCTTCTCGTCTGATGACTCCATTGTCACAGGTCAGGCAATTGCACCTGTATTCCCCCTCTGTGACCAGCAACAAAACACATTTTTAGGCTTGTGGCTTACAATGATCACTGCTCTTGAGCAAAGACCCACATCTCTCTCCCTCCTGACTGGGGCTTTTCCAGTCTGCACCGTTCCATGCCTAAATTGTGTTATTTCCAGCAAGCCAGACTGTCTAAATTTGCATTCTCTTCAGAGGCTACAAACAATATAATTGCCCACAGCTATAAAATACCAAACAGCTCTTTCTAAGCAAGCACATTTATTCTTAAGGTGAAAACATAACAGAGAAAACATAGTAAAAACAATAAAAAGAATGCACATGCATGCTAATATGCTTACCAGTGATCGACTCCATCCCCCACTCCCAACTCAAGCAGGGGCTCAGCCGTCCTTCAAACCTCACAATGGGAGTTTTCTGTGGTTACAAATTCACAACAGCTTTAGCTCAGAAAAAACACACCCATGCATAGTTCAGTCTTTCCTTTACACAGCCTTGTATCTTTGATCTTCGGATTTCAGGAACAGGTAGTAAGTAGACAATTTTTCCCTTCTCAGAGTGTATCTTTAAAAGGCTGTGCTTTTGCATAACTGTAGGTGGGATTTTGTATTCACCTCCCCAAAGAGTTTTCCAGGCAAACGACTTGAAAAACCCAACTCTTTCTGGCCCATTGTTCTATATAGTTATGTGAAGTTAATAACACTTCTCAGGATTCATAGTAATACACAAACTTTGCATTTAGTACAATGGACTCCAAAGCTATTTAAACTTAATTCAACAAGGTTTTCCAAGAATACTCTAGTCAATTGCCATATCTGTCAAAGTCATGTTTTAGATATGAGCAGTTTTTCCATCTTCACATTTTCAAGAGTTTTAACATTATAATGCACAAATGTCCATCAGCTAGCTTAAAGCAGCAAGTCCTATCTTAAGGTAGCAGTCCCATTTAGTCAAGAATAGTCCTATCTCAAGGTAGCAGTCCCATTTAGCAGTCCTACTCAGACAAGTAAGGATTATGCTTGTGAGCAAGAGTTGCAGAACTAGGCCAACAGGTTGTTGCTAGCAGAAAGTCACATCAGCAAGAAGCTTATAAAGGATACTGGAGGGAGGGATAGCTCAGTGGTTTGAGCACTGGCCTGCTAAACCCAGGGTTGTGAGTTCAATCCTTGAGGGGGCCATTTGGGGATTTGGTCTCCCTTTGAGCAGGGGGTTGGACTAGTTGACCTCCTCAGGTCTCTTCTAACCCTGATATTCTATAATACCAATGTGTTATATGCTAAAAGTACTAATCATAAAAAATACATTTCCCTTAAACAAAACTCAAATTAGGAATAAATGGAGGTACAGTAAATGATATAATATATTTAATACCATCAAATAGGCAGATGTGCAGGATCATTATGTCATACTTAATCCTGTATGTGTTTAACCAAGGACCAGCTCAACTAAATCTGTAACTATCTTTTTGTTGAGAAAGTATTAAGAAGCAGCTATCCTTAGAAAAACTATAAGATTGCCACAGTAAACAAAGTTGGACATGTATCATTTTATACCAATAGATTTTTTTTTATTTTTTTACCTGCAGCTTCGCCTCCAGCATAAATCTTAGCAACTGAGATAAAAGCTTATGATGCATTGCATGCCTGTGTTTTTTCACTCCTGAATCTAGATCTGACCAGCCAGTTTAAAGAGAGGATTTTCACAGATGAAAAAAGAGAGAGATGCAAAAGTGGATTTGCAGTCTCCTGAATATTGAAGCTTGTTCTGCATCTCAGGCTTTTGTCGGGAGTGAGGAGGGTGGGGGTCAGAGGAATCAAGATTCATTTCTTTTAAATGTTATCTTAGGTGGTGTGTGTGTGTGTGTGTGTGTGTGTGGAGAGAGAGAGCGCAAGGTTCTATTTGGAAACATTAGGAATCACAGAAACTGCAATGTTTTATCAACAGTATGTTTAGCCAAAAACACAGCCTGTGATTGTGGTGGCCTTTAACGGGTCTGCAAAATCTCATAATTACAATCAAATTGTCAATAATTAGCATGTACAGAACATTCTACTAGTATATGTAGAATTACATGAGAAGAAAAACTAGCAGGAAAAGAAGAACATGCTTTCAGGGAATAGTTTCATGAAATTTACTGCTATCCCATTTATCAGTTCCATTAGATTAGTATAGCCATGTGAATTTGATTATATCTTTTATTGCTAACATTCATCCTTTTCCTCAAGACCACCTTGGGAAGGAATCTGACAAAGTAGTAAGGAACACAGCCACCTGGCTGGCTTTAAACATAAGCTAGCTAGGTCTCTGCAAGGGGAACAATCTTCTGAAGAGTGCAATTTTTCATGAACCCTCGATAAATTTCAGGATGTAGGGGGTGGGAAACTGGCCAGAAGAAAAGTTTTCCACTTTAGTGAAGAATAAGAGAAGACAGGTAGGAAAGCTGGGGATAGGAAGCAGTGAAAAGGATAGAAAAGGGAGAGCTACAACAGAAAGTAACTTGCGGAAGGGGAAGAAGAAAGAGTGAAGGGTATGGAGATAAATGGGAAGAAAACAGATGAGGGATCTGTGTTGTTCATTTTGAGGGCGAAGGAAGAATTTAGAGCTTCATTATAGACAACCATGGAAGCATCAGTTACCACATAGGATCAAGGACATGAGATAGTGTGGGGAGGCAGGGGAGAGAAAAAGCCAATTATATAGCAAGAGGATGCACCCTAGGAAATAAGTTCTACCATGGGGTCTTTAACAGTCTCTGATTTAAAGTTTTTAATTAATTCCTTATGCCACAGGATCTAAAGTAATAGGTTTGGTTAGGTATATATCAGATAGCAGAAAGAAAACAACAGTTTTCTTTTGGATGGATTTATAAAGATTGTGACCAAAATCTGGTATTTCTTTGAAACATAGTGTCAAGGTTCCTCCCCCACTCTGAACTCTAGGGTACAGATGTGGGGACCTACATGAAAAAAACCCCTAAGCTTATCTTTACCAGCTTAGGTCAAAACTTCCCCAAGGTACAAAATATTACACCCGTCATCCTTGGAATGGCCGCTACCACCACCAAACTAATACTGGTTACTGGGGAAGAGCTGTTTGGACGCGTCTTTCCCCCCAAAATACTTCCCAAAACCTTGCACCCCACTTCCTGGACAAGGTTTGGGAAAAAGCCTCACCAATTTGCCTAGGTGACTACAGACCCAGACCCTTGGATCTGAAGAACAATGAACAATCCTCCCAACACTTGCACCCCCCCTTTCCTGGGAAATGTTGGATAAAAAGCCTCACCAATTTGCATAGGTGACCACAGACCCAAACCCTTGGATCTGAGAACAATGAAAAAGCATTCAGTTTTTACAAGAAGACTTTTAATAAAAAATAGAAGTAAATAGAAATAAAGAAATCCCCCCTGTAAAATCAGGATGGTAGATATCTTACAGGGTAATTAGATTCAAAAACATAGAGAACCCCTCTAGGCAAAAGCTTAAGTTACAAAAAAGATACACAGACAGAAATAGTTATTCTATTCAGCACAATGCTTTTCTCAGCCATTTAAAGAAATCATAATCTAACACATACCTAGCTAGATTACTTACTAAAAGTTCTAAGACTCCATTCCTGGTCTGTCCCTGGCAAGAACAGCATACAGAGAGCCACAGACCCTTTGTTCCTCTCCCTCCTCCCAGCTTTTGAAAGTATCTTGTCTCCTCATTGGTCATTTTGGTCAGGTGCCAGCGAGGTTACCTTTAGCTTCTTAACCCTTTACAGGTGAGAGGAGCTTTCCCCTGGCCAGGAGGGATTTCAAAGGGGTTTACACCTTCCCTTTATATTTATGACACATAGTGTAATGGTAATTTATTTTGAATTTTTGCTATGCATTCTCCAGTCTTAATTTACAACTCTGCCAAGCTTAATGAAATAAACATGTGGACTCAGCAATAATTCATATCCCAGTTTAAACCCTGAGCTTTCCAATCTAATCAGATCTGATTAGAAAGCAGAGATGAATCCAAAAAAAAAAAAAAAAATTCCAGAGAGGAGGCACTGTGGGATTTCTGTCATCAAAAGAACATACTGAATGCCAAGCCATTTAAATCAAAAGAGCCAAATTTTGAGAAAAAGGGGTTTGCACGTGATAATAGGTGAATTCTCTGCCAGTGTAAAACTGGTGGAAGCAGCAGAGAGCTGCATCCTGCATTAGAAACCATTCCCACAACATAGGGGGAAGAAAGGGGCATATTAGAGATGGGAAAGGGATGGAGATGTGACAGGGTGAGCCCCTGCTAAGTCTCCTCTGACAGCGGAACCTTAAGAGGGAGCATAAGTGAAAGCTGCCACCCTGCAGCATTAACTGGGCAGGGTGTCTTCTTAGGTACTCAGAGAAAAATCAAGTCCTGTTCATTTGTGTTAAAGTAGTGTATAGCAGCCCTAAGGCTAAAAAGTAGTTTGGACCCAGACCCTCTAGTCTACCTTTCAATGCCCTGGTCTACACTAGGAGATTAGGTCGAATTTAGCAGTGTTAAATTGATGTAAACCTGCACCCGTCCACACGATGAAGCCCTTTTTTTGACTTAAAGGGCTCTTAAAATCGATTTCCTTACTCCACCACCGACAAGGGAATTAGCGCTTAAATCAGCCTTGCCGGGTTGAATTTGGGGTACTGTGGATGCAATTAGATGGTATTGGCCACCGGGAGCTATCCCAGAGTGGTCTATTGTGACCGCTCTGGACAGCACTCTCAACTCAGATGCACTGGCCAGGTAGACAGGAAAAGGCCCACAAACTTTTGAATTTCAATTTCCTGTTTGCATGGTCACCTGCAGCTTCCCACGCTGGCCAGAGCTCATCAGCAGAGGTGACCGTGATGGAGTCCCAGAATCGCAAAAGAGCTCCAGCATGGACCGAACGGGAGGTACGGGATCTGATCGCTGTATGGGGAGAGGAATCCATGCTATCGGAACGCTGTTCCAGTTTTCAAAATGCCAAAACATTTGTCAAAATCTCCCAGAGCATGAAGGACAGAGGCCATAACAGGGACCTGAAGCAATGCCGCATGAAACTTAAGGAGCTGAGGCAAGCCTACCAGAAAACCAGAGAGGCAAACAGCCGCTCCGGGTCAGAGCCCCAAACATGCCGCTTCTATGATGAGCTGCATGCTGTTTTAGGGGGTTCAGCCACCACTACCCCAGCCATGTTGTTTGACTCCTTCAATGGAGATGGAGGCAACACAGAAGCAGGTTTTGGGGATGAGGAAGATAGCTCACAGCAAGCAAGCGGAGAAATCGGTTTTCCCGACAGCCAGGAACTGTTTCTCACCCTGGACCTGGAGCCAGTACCCCCCGAACCCACCCAAGGCTGCCTCCTGTACCCACCAGGCGGAGAAGGGACCTCTGGTGAGTGTACCTTTTAAAATACTATACATTGTTTAAAAGCAAGCATGTTTAATGATTAATTTGCCCTGGCATTTGCAGCTCTCCTGGGTGTACTCCCTAAGCCTTTGCAAAAGGTTTCTGGGGAGGGCAGCCTTATTCCGTCCACCATGGTAGGACACTTTACCACACCAGGCCAGTAGCACGTACTCGGGAATCATTGTAGAACAAAGCATTGCAGTGTATGTTTGCTGGCGTTCAAACAACATCCATTCTTTATCTCTCTGTGTTATCCTCAGGAGAGTGATATCATTCATGGTCACCTGGTTGAAATGGGGTGCTTTTCTTAAGGGGACATCCAGAGGTGCCCGTTCTTGCTGGGCTGTTTGCCTGTGCCTGAACAGAAATGTTCCCCGCTGTTAGCCACAGGGAGGGGTGAGGGGCTAGCCACGTGGTGAGGGGAGGCAAAATGCGACCTTGGAACGAAAGCACATATGCTGTGTATGTAATGTTAACAGCAAGGTTTACCCTGAAAGAGTGTAGCCATTGTTCTAGAAAATGTGTCTTTTTAAATACCACTGTTCCTTTTTTTTTCTCCACCAGCTGAATGTGTTTCAAGGATCACAGGATCTTCTCCTTCCCAGAGGCTAGTGAAGATTAGAAGGTGAAAAAAAACGCACTCGTGATGAAATGTTCTCTGAGCTCCTCCCCCACTGACAGAGCACAGATGAATGCATGGAGGCAGACAATGTCAGAGTGCAGGAAAGCACAAAATGACCAGGAGGAGAGGTGGCGGGCTGAAGAGAGTAAGTGGCGGGCTGAAGGCAGGGCTGAAGCTCAAATGTGGCAGCAGCGTGATGAGAGGAGGCAGGATTCAATGCTGAGGCTGCTGGAGGATCAAACCAATATGCTCCAGTGTATGGTTGAGCTGCAGCAAAGGCAGCTGGAGCACAGACCGCTGCTACAGCCCCTGTGTAACCAACCACCCTCCTTCCCAAGTTCCATAGCCTCCACACCCAGATGCTCCACACCCAGTCGCCTACTGCTGGGTGGAGTACACCCAGATGCCCAAGAACACGGTGGGGGGGGCCTCCGGCCAACTAGCCACTCCACCACAGAGGATTGCCCAAGCAACAGAAGGCTGGCATTCAATAAGGTTTAAAGTGTTAAACTTTTAAAGTGCTGTGTGGCCTTGTCCTTCCCTCCTCCACCCCCCCCCCCCCCCGGTGCTTCTCTCCTCCACCACCCCTCCTGGGCTACCTTGGTAGTTATCCCCCTATTTGTGTGACAAATTAATAAAGAATGCATGAATGTGAAGCAACAATGACTTTATTGCCTCAGCAAGTGGTGATCGAAGGGAGGAGGGGGGGGGGGGGTGGCTTACAGGGAATTAGAGTCAACCAAAGGGGTGGGTTTTCATCAAGGAGAAACAAACAAATGTCACACTATAGCCTGTCCAGTCATGAAACTGGTTTTCAAAGATTCTCTGATGCGCACCGTGCCCTCCTGTGCTCTTCTAACCGCCCTGGTGTCTGGCTGCGCGTAACCAGCAGCCAGGCGATTTGCCTCAACCTCCCACCCCGCCATAAACGTCTCCCCCTTACTCTCACAGATATTGTGGAGCACACAGCAAGCAGTAATAACAGTGGGAATATTGGTTTCGCTGAGGTCTAAGCGAGTCAGTAAACTGCACCAGTGCGCTTTTAAACGTCCAAATGCACATTCTACCACCATTCTGCACTTGCTCAGCCTGTAGTTGAACAGCTCCTGACTACTGTCCAGGCTGCCTGTGTACGGCTTCATGAGCCATGGCATTAAGGGGTAGGCTGGGTTATATATAGGCATTTCAACATCCCCAATGGTTATTTTCTGGTCTGGGAATAAAGTCCCTTCTTGCAGCTTTTGAAACAGACCAGAGTTCCTGAAGATGCGAGCGTCATGTACCTTTCCCAGCCATCCCATGTTGATGTTGGTGAAACGTCCCTTGTGATCCACCAGTGCTTGCAGCACTATTGAAAAGTACCCCTTGCAGTTTATGTACTCGCCGGCTTGGTGCTCCGGTGCCAAGATAGGGATATGGGTTCTGTCTATGGCCCCACCACAGTTAGGGAATCCCATTGCAGCAAAGCCATCCACTGTGACCAGCACATTTCCCAGGGTCGCTACCCTTGATATCAGCAGATCTTTGATTGCGTGGGCTACTTGCATCACAGCAGCCCCCACAGTAGATTTGCCCACTCCAAATTGATTCCCGACTGACCGGTAGCTGTCTGGCGTTGCAAGCTTCCACAGGGCTATTGCCACTCGCTTCTCAACTGTGAGGGCTACTCTCATCTTGGTATTCTTGCTCCTCAGGGCAGGGGAAAGCAAGTCACAAAGTTCCATGAAAGTGCCCTTATGCGTGCGAAAGTTTCGCAATCACTGGGAATCGTCCCAGACCTGCAACACTATGCGGTCCCACCAGTCTGTGCTCGTTTCCCAAGCCCAGAATCGGTGTTCCACAGCATGAACCTACCCCATTAGCACCAGGATGCCCACATTGCAGGACCTGTGCTTTGAGAGAAGTCTGTGTCCATGTCCTCATCACTCACGTCACCGCGCTGACGTCGCCTACTCGCCCAGTATCACTTTGCCAGGTTCTGGTGCTGCATATACTGCTGGATAATGCGCATGGTGTTTAATGTTCTCCTTATTGCCAAAATGATCTGATCGGGCTCCATGCTTGCCATGGTATGGAGTCTGCACAGAAAAAAGGGGCGGAACGATTGTCTGCCGTTGCCCTGACGGAGGGAGGGGCGACTGATGACATGGCTTACAGGGTTGGCTTACAGGGAATTAAAATCAACAAAGGGCGTGGCTTTGCGAGAAACAGAATGGCCCCCTCAAGGATAGAACTCAAAACTGGGTTTAGCAGGCTGTTGATTTCACAGAGGGAGGGAGGGAAGGAGAGAGGAGAAAATGAATACAAAACAAATCTGGTCTATTTCTTGTTTTGAGCCACTTCATCTATCTTTATACATCTTGCTGGCAGCAGACTGTGCAGTACGACTGCTAGCCATCATCATCTCCTGGGTGCTCGGCAGAAGACAGTGCAGTATGATGGCTAGCCATCATTTTCTGCTAGCTGGAGGTTAAAAGACAGTGCACTGCCGGTAGGACTCAATCGCCACGAGACAAAACAAGGGAAATGACCTGTCTGAGTCACTCCCGTGTTTGCCCAGGCACGCGGTTAAAAGAGCACCCAGGACTACGTCGATGACGGATATCAGTCATACTGCACTGTCTGCTTCCAAAAGGCAATAAACTGCTGCTGTGTAGCAATGCAGTACCATGTCTGCCAGCACCCAGGAGACATACAGTGACGGTTAGCTGAGCGGGCTCCATGCTTGCCGTGGTATGGCGTCTGCACAGGTAACTCAAGAAAAAAGGCGCAAAACGATTGTCGGCCCTTGCTTTCACGGAGGGAGGGAGCGTATGGGGGCCTGACGATATGTACTCAGAACCACCCGCAACAATGTTTTAGCCCCATCAGGCTCTGGGATTTCTACCCAGAATTCAAATGGGCGGCAGAGACTGCGGGAACTGTGGGATAGCCACCCACAGTGCAACGCTCTGGAAGTCGACGGTTGCCTTGGTACTGTGGACACACTCCGCTAATTACATGCACTTAGAGCATTTGTGTGGGGATACACACAATCAACTGTATAAAAATGCTTTCTACAAAACCAACTTCTATAAATTCGACCTAATTTCGTAGTGTAGACATACCCAATCTCTCTGCTTCTGGGATAGAGCTGTGATTCCTAGTCTTCTTCAATGGAGTACTCCAGGCCATATTTGAAAGCCTTCCACCAGAGCCTAGTTTGTTTCCTGTGAGTCTACAGCAAGCTCTGTTCTCAGCTCTTTTATGATTCCCACTTGTTTCAGGCTGTCACCTGACCCTAATTAGTCGAGCCACTTTAGGCTTGGAGGCAATTTATTATGATCCAGGTGAACTGATTGAACAGGATTGACTATCCCCACGCCTCCTGACACTTAAAGGGGCAGACCATGCTTTCACATAGACAATAGAAATAATTTGCTACAGAGTTAAGAAACAGAAATTACTTAAGGAAATTTTATATGCTGTTTGAACATGAATGGAACTGAAGGATACAGAAATCAAACAGATTTGAGAAATTAAAATGATGAGTGATCAGGCAGGCAGCAGAGGCCAGAGATGTCAGCCGCCAATGTGGGCAGTGGGGCATGGAGCTGTCAGCCGCCACCACAGGCAGTGGGCGATGGAGCTGTAAATTTCCCTCCTGCAAGTAGCCTGCCCCCCACCCACATTATGTTTAGTAAAAGTCACAGGTAGATCACAGGCTTACGTGAATTTTTGTTTATTGCCCAATACTTATGCAAGACATTTTACTAAAAATAACTTTGACAAAATCTTAACCTCAGTGATAATACTGTACAGCATAAATCTCATTCCTTAAGATTGTAAGGAAAAAAAATAGAAATAGACTATATGATCTCTTCTGGACCTTGCAAAGTTCCTGTATTAAATGTTTGCATGCCATTCTGCCATCTCTCACTGATCTTGTCAATATCTGAATGTTTTGCTGTAGCTTGTACTGCAAAGTTACATTAACTGCCACAATTTAAATCGGGAACAAACTGACAGACAACAGCAATACAAAATACATCCAAAAAGGTTTGTCTTAAGCTATAAGATATTGAAACAAGTCCCTCTTTTATATGTATTCACTATGATAGTGATGACATGCCATTTTGAGCAGCATTTGCCTTTATAAATCAAGAATTTGCCCAACAGTTACCACACGATATCAGATAGGAAATAACTGTGGTGACGGTGTGGTACTTGCTGGGAAAATGTGGACTTTTCAATTATGCTCATTATATATTGCATAATCTAAACCAAAACACAGCATCACTGTGACCTTCGGTCCCCTATTCCTATTATTCCATGTCGTCATCTGGCTTTTCCCCATGTTTGCTGACCACAATCAATGTATTGCATGCACTTGTTTTGGTTTTCCATTGACCAAATGCACTCGGTACTATTTGTCTCTCACAAGAAGACAAAAGTATTTAGGTGTTCAAGAGCCCAATACAATGTATGAAAGTGTAATGAAAAACAAAATTATGTATAAAGGGAAGATATCAGTTTAAATAATAGTAACTCACAAGCCATCATTCTTCATTCTATGATGACTTCATACTTGGCTAGGTTGGATAGGTACAATGCTTTCTTGTGTTACTCATACATTGTACTTTGTAAAGTCAAACCAGCCTCTCTTTAATTTAACTCTGAGGCAAAAAAATTTCAACTATCACTTAAGTGTTTCTTCCTGATTGTTAGTATGGCAGTCTATTTGCAATCCAGTACTGTTGTCTCAAGTGTCTCTCTGCAGTCAGCCTTGATACAGTTTCCTTGTTACTCTGATGTGGCCTGCTCTAATAGTATTCACCATTATACCATATATCCCCACAAAAATATTTATTAGTGCTGGTTTGGATTCTTCCGATTAAATGTTTTCATTGGAAAATGCCATTTTGTCAAAACCAAAACATTTTGCAGAAATGTATCCATTTTGGTGAAATTTTCATCAGGAATCTTTTTTCAGGTCCAGCATGGACTTTCTAGTCAAAGCCCCACCCTAATATCCCAGTGGTTTGAGCACTCAGGTGAGATGTGAGGGACCTAGGTTGAAATCCCTCCTCCGGTTCAGGCAGAACAGGGACTTGAACCTGTATTGTCCACATCCCAGGTAAGGGCCCATTACAATGAGTCTATTGGCTATCCTAGGGAATCATTCTTATTTTTTTTCATTTAAAAAAAAATCAAAGGGGCTTGGTTAAGTTTCCAGGCAAAACCAAAACAACCTATTCTGAAACCTCCTTTATTTTTTTCAAATGGAATTCTTGTTTTCCAGTCAAACCTAGTATTAAAATGTCCTCTGAGAGTGGGATATGACATTCTGTCTCATTCAACATCCTTTATATGTTTCCAAAGTCATTCAGTATTTTATTCCCTATCTTGGCCAAACTCTTTAGTTCCCAATTTCTTGTTACCCCTTCCTATTTCCAAATTACCTCCCTCT